GGGGGGGGGGCGGAGCGGAGCGGAGCGGAGCTGGTAGACCAGCGGGCCCTCACTCGAACACGACGGTGCCTGCGGCGCTGGCGCCGCCTCCGGAGACACGCTGCCGCTGGTCGCGACCTCGGCCTCCTCCTTGCGGACCGCCTTCTTGCCGCTCTTGCGGTCCGCGAGCGCGGCGTCGGCCTTCGCCTGGTCCAGGATCTTCTGAATGTTATTCTCCTTCCCAGACCTCCAACGTGTTGAAAAATCAATACCGATGCTTTTTGCTGTCCTGGGCATCTGAGGGCCCTGCCCGGGCCCTGGGACCGTCCAAAAACGACTCAGGATGAAACAGCGGCCCCGAGGAAAGGGTCGGGACTTCGGGGGCCTCCGATTGAAAGAACCAATGCAGCACACATCGCATATCGTTGCCCTCGTCCCGTGTTGCGTTCCCTCGCTCGCCATGCAGGTCTCGCTCGGTTCAGTCGAACATGTAATGTCTGCTGGACCTGGTGCGAATACAGCGATGAAACCGCGTCATTGACGGGCGGCCATGCAGGCGGAGAATTACCGCCTACCCTCCAGACCTCCAGCGCCTTGGAGTGTCAGAGCGGAAGTTGTTCGCAAGCGTCGGCCTTCAGGGGCAACGGTGAGGGGGGAACGGGCTCGGGGGAGAATGCATCGACCTACATGTGCCCCTTCATCGCCGTCGGTAGCTCTTTGTGGCTCAAGAGCCGCGCGTCCCAAGGCCGCCCCCCGCCGCCCCGCGAGGCGCCGCCGTTCCAAGAGCGAGAGAGAGAGCCACCCTCCCGCGAGCCGCAGCCATGCGCTAGGCGCGCTCCTTGGCCGTGCTGCTCGCGGCAGCGGTGCTGCCGCTGGCGATGTCCTCCGGCTTGGGCGGCAGAGGTGGCCTGCCCCCTATGGTACATCCTTAGCGGCGTCCGCCCCGGGGGACCGGACAAGGACGTGGGCACGTACACCGCCATCGCCTGCTCCAACTCCTTTCCCCCCTCATCTTTCCCTCCACTGCCTCCATAGCTGCACAATCTGAAGGCTACTCTTCTCTCTCCCCTGGCTACGTGGGGGAGGCATCTCGCCCTTTGCGTATATAATATACTCAGGATTTCAAGCGTTTTCTTTTTTTCTTCCCCCTGCGTGTTTTCGAAGTCCAATTGTTTTCGGTGTTTCAAAATGGTGCTCCCGCTGCAGCGTTGGCCTCATTTTCGGATCGGCGCTGTGCTCCCGTCGTTCAGAATGGCGCTCTCGCCCCAGCGCGGGCCACTTTTCGGGATTCGAGTCCTTTTTCATCGTTGTCGTCCCTTTCATTTCCCCTCCTCCACCTTTCCCTGATCCTCCTGCTCCTCCCACTTCTTCCACTACAGTTCCTGCTGCTGTTCGTCCTCTCCCTCCTCCTCCTCCTCCTTTTCCTCCTGCTCACCCGCCGCCTCCTCCTCCCCTGATGTACGCAACTTAATTTTTCCGATTGCGCATAACGCGATGTTTTTTCGGAGGAGCTAGCTCCAGGTCGGCTATGGCATGCGCCCGCGGAGATACAACAACTCCGTGCAACGGTAAGGGACGGGAGGGAGGGCCAAGATGCCAGATACGGGGCGAATGCACCTCGCTTGTCCCTCCCGCTCTTCCCCCTCCCTCCCCCTCCCTCCCCCTCCTCAGCCCCCTCGCTGTCGTCGTCGTCGCTGTCGTCCTCGCCTCGTCGAACTCGTTGAGGTACTTCTTCACCGCGGCCTGGTCCCGCTGCCTGCGCGCGTCCTGGCGGGCCGCGCGAGGGCGGAGGAGCGGGGCGGGAGGACGAGAGGGGGGGCGTGGGAGTGGGAAGGGCTGCGTGCAGTAGGGGCTCGACCACAAGAAACCTTCCACAAGAAGCCCAACCCTGAGACCCCAGGACGTCCATGGATATCTAGTGTGGGGACGTTACGGTTTCCACAGCAGAGCCATCGAACCCCCAGAAACCCAAGGAACCCTGGAGGCAAGCAAGGTGTTTTTTTCGGCATGGGTCTCCGCTGTAGGGAGAGCAGTGTCAACTCAACACGCGCCAACGATGTTGAAAGACAACCTCCCTCCAAGTCCCTGGTCTCTGTCCATGCAAGAGCTTATGTTCATTGCAACACATACCCCCTTGGACAACAACCCTTTGACATCCTCAATCCTGCCAAAGCACAACTCCTGAGACTTCAACTCCTCGAATCAACGTGATTGCTGCGTCATGACAATCCTAAGCCGTGCCAGGTTACCATTCCTGGGACTTCAACACGGCGAATCAACGTGACTGTTGCGTCAGGACAATCCTAAATCGTGCCAGAACACTTTGTCTGGGCCTTCGACCATGCGAATCCTTGAAGCTGCGGCAAGCTTTTCAGGCGAATGTGCGTGGCGACAAAGCGAGAACCACATTTTGAAAAGAGGAACCGCCCTCCATCTTTGAAACCATTGCAAGCCTGTAGCATGAATGTGCGCGGCGCTCAAGCGAACGCCACATTTTGAAGCAGACCTGTCCTCCACCCTTGAAGCTGTTGCAACATTTTGACACGAGTGTGCACGGCGCTCAAGCGAGAGCCACATTTTGAAAACCACCCGCCCTCCATTCTTGAAACTGCAGCAAGCTTTGAAAATGATTGCGCGCGGCGCTAAGGCGATAACCGCATTTTGCAATAACCCGCCCTCCATATCTGAAGCTGCTTCAAATCTCGAACTTCAAGGGGAAGTCTCAAGCGACACGCCCAGCCTGGCCCACCGACGCGTCTGGGGGGGCGACAAGGAGAACTTCTGTGTAGGGACAACGGATTGAGGAGGAGGATGCGAAGGGGCGGGCGGTGGGAGGGGGGGGGTGAGGCCTCCAGGGCAGCGCCCTCCTCGTGAACCCAAGTGACGTCAGGACACTCCTGGACTCTTGTGCTTCCTCTTGGCGGCGCGCTGCCCGGCTTGCCGCTCCGACCGCGCCGGGCATCCGGGGGCGCCGCGTCCAACGACGCGTTTTCTTCATGCCGGCTTCCAGGGGCCAAACTTCGGGACGCGCACACCCAACATCGTGTTGGCCCGGGAAAAAAGCTCAGGGAACGGGTCGGGCCCGCCAGGGCCCGCGGGCTCAAGTAGAACACATCGTCGGATGTCGGGGGGTTTCTCCCCATAACCAGAGGATGGGGTTCGTGTTGTTATTCCGACCGCGCGGACCTCCTTCTCCTCACCTCCTCCCTCTCTTCTCCATCCTACTCAAAGTACAATGATGCACTCAGAGTATGGTGATGCCGAATGTTGACGATAAGTATGGAATGGCATGTTATGCCAAGCTATGTTATGTTATGCTAGGTTATGCATGTTACGATGTGTTAGGTTACGGTATGTTATGGTAGTCTCCATATCCTAAGATGGGGTTCTTGTTGTTTTTTAGACGCCTCGGATCTCACTCCTCCTCCTCCTCCTCCACTCAGAGTATGATGAAACCGAACGATGACGACAAGTATGATATGGTATGTCTTGAGATGCTATACTATGATATGCTATGCAATGCTCTGCTACGTTATGCTAGGTTAGGGTATGCTATGGGATGCTATGCTATGCTGTGATGATGTTGAAGATGCTGATGATGCTGATGATGGTGGTGGTGGTGATGTTGATCTTGATGTTGAGGTTCTTGAGGTTGTTGTTGTTGTTGATGATACTGCTGCTACTGCTGCTGCTGCTGCTGCTGATGATGATGATGATGATGATGATGATGATGATGATGATGGCGGAGTAAATTCTGAGGATGTCTCGAGCGAGGTGCGGGTTTAAGTACCCCCAAGGGGGAGCCGCCTGGGGGTATCTCACTCCTCCGTTCACGCCCAAATTGCGGGGATGCCTCGAGCGGTTTGCCTGTTTACCAGCTCCACATCCTCCGCTTTCGGAACATATTTGGAGGATGTCTCGAACGAGGCGCGGATTTCAGCATCCCCAAGGGGGAACCGCCATGGGGGTATCTCACTCCTCCGTTCGCGCCAACATGGCGGGGATGTCTCGAGCGGTCAACATGCTCCGCTGGAGCAGATTTGGAGGACGTCTCGAGCGAGGCGCCCATTTTCGCCCCCCAAGGGGGGCCAGATGTCGAGGATGCCTCGAGCGGTTTGCTCATTTTGCTGGCCAGACTCGTGGGCACGGACCCTCTTCACGATGCCACAAGAGGCTCCAGCAGGCTCCAGGAGGCCACAGGACGTACCAGGAGGTACCAGGATGCCACAGGAGGCCACAGGAGGCTCCAGGAGGCACCAGGAGGCCCCAAGAGGGTCCAAGAGGCTCCAGGAGGCTCCAGGAGGCTCCATGATGCCACAGGAGGCCACAGGAGACCACAGGAAGCGCCAGGAGGCACCAGGAGGCCCTGGAAGGCACCAGGAGGCCCCAAGAGTCCCCAGGAGCAGGAGGCCTCAGAAGGCAGGAGTGGCTCCAATCCCATGTGTTGTGCGTATGCTCCTAGAGATTGTGCCTTCCCTGGAGCACGAATCCTGGGTGTTTCTACAGATTCGGCCTCCCCTGGGGCACGAGTTCTTGGTGTTTTACGTGTATTCCTACAGATTGCCCTTCTCCTGCGGCTCCAATCCGTAGTGTTTGATGTATGTCTGTTCCTATAAATTGGGCCTCTCCTGGGGTACGAATCCTCCCCAGGAGACCCCAGGAGGCGCCAGGAGGCTCCAGGAGGCGCCAGGAGGCTCCAGGAGGCCCAGGAGGCCCCAGGAAGCCACACGAGGCCCCAGGAGGCCACAGGAAGCCCCAAGAGGCCACAGGAGGCCTCAAGAGGCTCCAGGAGGCCCCAGGAAGCCCCAGGAGGTTTCAGGAGGCCCCGGGCTCATGCGCAGAGACGCGCTCGTACTACTGAGACTCACTCACACTCCAACTTATTCACAATTACATTCACTCCTAGACCGTCAATATTTAAGCCCGTGAATCTTCGAAAACTCTTGCGCCTAGACACTCACGGCGGGCAGATACACATATGGGGAGCTCCACGCAGTGAATAACTTGAGCAACACGTCCAGCTCCTCCTGACTGCTAAGGGTAAAACTGACGAATGTAATGGAGGGAATTGCAGCCGCCCTGAAACAAAACCTGGTCAGACTCGCCTGAACTGTCCCCCACCTTTGGCATGAGCGGGCCCTCATTTCTTCGAGGGCGAGGGACGTGCGGGCGAAAGAAACAGCTGTTGGGCGTCGCTTACTTTGGAGGGCGATTGGGGGGGGGGGGAGGGGGGAAAGGTGTACCTTTCGGACTTTTGGGCCACAGAGGGCGCCTTTGGGGGCCCTGGAGGGCTCCTTTTCTGGAGCCCTCGCTGCCCCTCTTTAAGTCGGGCGTGTCCCCCCACAAGGGGATTTTCGACGAAAAATTTAAAATACCCAACAAATGCCCCCAAATGGTCAAAAAACACTACAAAAAATACTCCCCATACTATTTTTGGACTATTTTGGAATTTCCCCCCTGTAGAGGGACAGGCCCGACTTAACCCTTCCTGTCGCCTCCCCACTACGCGAGGCCCAACGCTGCACAAACATGACCCCCTGGAGGCCAACGCGGCTTCCCTCCCGGGGGCCGGCGCTGCGCCCTCCCCTGGCGCGCGGCGCGCCCGGGGCGGCGCCGCTCAGAACCGGTCCCCTTGCTCCCTCGCACCCTCGAAGCCTCGAGCCAAGACGAAGCCAGGACGCGGCTAGATTTGGGTGAGGATGGATCGAGAATCTCTGGGATCCGACGGCTCCGGAGGAAGCCTCGGGCGCCGCCGCCCTCTCCGAGCGTTGCGAAACGCTCTGAGAGCCTTCGGGAGCGCCCTGGAACGGATGCATCCTCGTCCCAGCCCCGCCCGGCGAGCCCTGGAACCCTAACAGTATTCGGCCTGACCAAAGGAACGATAAAGTAGGAACGATAAAGCCCCTTTTTTTCCGAGTAAGCCTACGGAATCCGAAGGAACCCCAGGGGGGCTCGCCGCCAAAAAGGTAGCGGAACGCATGCAAACCGAAGGAACGACCGAGCCCCTTTTGCAAAGTAAGAGTTCCTCGCTCGAGCTCGACCCTGTAGATGGGGGAGCAAATACATCATGAGCGACACGCCGCCCTGGGGCAAACCCATCAGCGGGAGCCATCGGCCTGCTGCTGCTGGAGGGACACCGTGCATTCGGGCAGCAGGCGAAGGAGAGTAGCATGCCGACGGGGCTCCAGCGGCAGCGTGTCATTGAGACCCTCGAGCCCTCGAGCCCTCGAACCCTCGAGGGACGACGACGGCGACGCCGACGAACGCGCGGCAGGAACTTGATCAAGATCGGCCCCCTGGCAGCAGGGACTCGACCACAAGAAACCTTCCACAAGAAACCCAACCCTGAGACCCCAGGGCGCCCATTAATTTTTTACTTTGGAACGTCGCGCCTTCCATGGCAAAACCATCGGAAACCAAGAAACCCAGGGCACCCTGGAGGCAAGCAGGGTGTTTCTTGGCATGGGCCTCCACTGTATCCCCTTTTCGTCCGACCCTGATGATCCTCATCATCTTTGTTCGGGTCGCGACCCCGGCCCCTGGCAATCGCCTGGGACGCTTCAAGGCATCCCCGCAGCGCTCGCGGTAAGGTGCAGCTCTGCTGGAGAGCACCACGAGGCGGAACAGAACCGCCGAGAACCAGCGCAAACGTCCGCCTACCTGGAATCCCTCTCCCCAACTCGGGGGCGTCCAGGGTCCAAGAGGGGGCTCGCAAATCATGGCCCGAGTCACATGCGCGGCCCAGAGTGGGGCAATATATATATATATATATACACATATTTTATATGTGTATATATACATGTATATATATATATATATGTTGCAACAAGAACGGGCGAAGAAATCCAGGGAGGTCACATGGCTCTGGCCATGCTACCCGCCCTCCCTAATCATCGCCTCCCTCTGTGCAGCCCCCGGCCAATGCACCCCAGCACGTCCGACCCGAGCCGCACGGGGCGCCCCGACCTCCTCGACGCTTTTCCCCTCGCTCTCGGTCCTCCTCCAACGAGCCTTCGAGCCATCGACGCCAGAAGAAAAAACACAGCACAGCCGTATAAGCATAAACTTCCGGAGGTCCGCACGGACTTCCCGAATCGGCGCGGGACTCCCTCCAGAGCGCGCGGGGCGCGCCAAGGGGACCCAGACGCCGACGCAAGAAATTCGCGCGGAGCTCCGGACGTGTGTGTCAAGGGCGCGGAGGTGTCAACATACTGGACGTGCCACACGCTGGCGCGGTGCTCACATCCCACCCACCCTGGGAACCCATGTCATATGAGGACACACGCTCCGGTGCATGCGCGCCATCGGGGAAGGCCGCGCGGAGCAGGGAGGAGCAGCGAGGAGCACGCGGGAGGAGCAGCGTGCAGGAGGAGCAGCACAGGCGCGGCGGCACGGCATCGCTGCGGAGTGTTTGGGGCAGCCTCGGGGCGCGCGGCGGTCCCTGCGACGCGCGCGCCGCCCGCGGGCGGGCGCCGCGTGGGCAGAATGTGCCCCGCACCATATTTTCCATCGACGATCGTGAAGGGCGCAGTGCAGCCGCCCGGGCGGGACGTGCCCCGCGCCCCACGTCTGATGGCAGATCGCGAAGGGCAAGGAATTCGGTGCCTTCGGCCGCGCGAGCGGGATGTGGCCCGCGCCACGTTTGTAATGGAGGATCGCGCGAGTTCAAGAATTAGCTTCGCATGGCGATGTGCACTGTGCCGCCTTTCTAGTGGATGATCGCGGTGGGCAAGGCATTCGCTCACTTCGTCCGCGCGCACGGGATGTGGCCCGCGCCACGTTTTTCATGGAGAATCCCGCGAGTTTAGGAATTAGCTTCGCATGGCGATGTGAACCGCACCCCGTTTTCAGTGCATGACCTCGTGGCGAATTAGGAGGTCAGCCCCCCAGAGGCCGGCACGAAGGGATCCCTTGCTGTTTCGGATTTTCATTCGCACCCATAAAGAGTGTTCGGGGTTGAAAATTTTTATGCTTGTGCAACTTTTTCTTCCTCGAACTTCGAGCCTCGAGCCCCCTCGGAACTCCTCGTGTCCCGGGTGCTCTCGGTGCCCTCGACCCCTCGAGCGAGCCCCTCGAACCCTCGGAGCCCCGATCTCCTGGATGCCCTCGGTGCCCTCGAGCCTTCGAGCGAGCCCCTCGAACCCTCGGAGCCCCGATACCCTGGATGCTCTTGGTGCCCCCGAGCCCTCGAGTCCTCGAGCGAGCCCTCGAACCCCTCGGAGCCCCGATCTCCTGGATGTTCTTGGTGCCCCGCCGGAGCGCCTCGATGTGCTTGGCGGACAGCTCGTCGAAGCGGCGGTAGGCCTGGGGGGGCGGCGGGCGGTCCCCGAGGCTCGGCGCCCCTGGAGGCTTGAGGATCGGGGCCCCGCGGATCCCCTCCCTCCTCCTCCTCCTCCTCCTCCTCCTCCTCCTCCTCCTCTTTCCTCCTCTTTCCTCCTCCTCTTTGCTCCTCCTCCTCTTTCCTGCTTCCTCCTCCTCCTCCTCTTTGCTCCTCCTCCTCCTCCTTTTTCCTCCTCCTCCTCCTCCTCCTCTTTCCTCCTCCTCTTTCTTCTTCTTCTTCCTCCTCCTCCTCCTCCTCCTCCTCCTCCTCCCTTGGAAGGGCGGCCCGGGCACCCCCAGGGCTCGAGGATCCATGCTCCCCAGAACCCCTCGCGTCGTGAGCAATTCCAGACAACTCTCGGCAACTTCCCCCCGACAATTATTCACTGCGTAGAGCTCCCCATATGTGCATCTACTCGCATGGACCTGTCCGCCGTGAATGTCTAGGCGCAAGAGCTTTCGAATATTCGCGGGCTTCAGTTGTGACGGTCTGGACATCAATCTAACTGCGAATGAATTGGAGTGTGAATGAGCCTCAGTAGTGCGAGCGCGTCTCTGTGCATGAGCCTGGGGCCTCCTGGGGCCTCCTGAAACCTACTGGGGCTTCCTGGGGTCTCCAGGGGCCTCTTGGGACCTCCTAAGAAGGTTTCGTGCCCCAGGAGAGGCGCAATCTATAGCAACAGACGTACATAAAACATTGCGGATTAGAGCCACTTTTTTTTGAGCATGAGCAGCCCGCGCAGCGCGAGCCGATCCCGTTGGCCCCCTCCGCCGCTCCGCAGCGGCCGCGTCTTACCCTGCGCGGCGTGCACGACCAGGGCGTGCGCACGAGGGCGCCTCGCGGCGCCGCGCTGCCCCAGGAGCCCGATGGCGGAGTGGCCCCCTGGCGCCAGGCCCGCCCCCACCCGCGGGCCAGCCCGTAGGGCCTAGGCGGGGCGCCAGCGGACGGCCTCCAGCATGCGCCGAAGGTCGTCGCTCGCCTCGGGGCGCCAATCGGCCGCCCTCCGCAGGACGCCGTCCGCCGCGGCGAACGCGTCCTCGAGGGCAGCCGCCGCCCCCGCCGCCGCGTCCGAGGCAGCAGCTCCGCCGCCAGGCTCCGCCGCCGCCACCGTCGCGTCCGCCTGCCCCTTCGCCCCCGGGTCCCTCGCGAGTGCCCGCACCGTGCCCGCGGCCGCGCCGGCCGCGCCAGCGCCCTCCACGTCCACGACCCACCAGCCCTTGCGCCCAGGGGCGTGTTCGGGCCTCCGCCTGCGCCTCCGCGGCCAGGCAGGGGCGGCAGCTCCTCCCACTCCAGCGGGATCCGCCGCCGCCGCACCCGAGGCGGCCCGACGAACGTTGTCCGCCCACTCGTCACCGAGGTCGTCCATGTCGTCGTCGGCGGTTGCCGCCGCTGCAGCCGCAACAGCAGCTGCACCAGCGGCAGCACCAGCGACCGCCCCAGCGGGCACCACCTCCACGACCATGTTGTTCTCCTCCTGGGCGGCCGCGCGCCGCGCAGCACGGCGCTGGCGGCGGCGGCGGCGCTTCGCGGCTCGCGCCGCAGGGTCAGCCCCAGCAGCACCAGCTCGGTCAGAAGGATCAGGGCGAGCAGCACCAGCAGCAACAGCGGGCGGCGGCGGCACGGCGCCCTCGGCCCCGCGGCCCACCCCGAAAAGGGTGGCCGACACAGCCGACCGCGCCACAGCCGCGACCGTGCGCCGCGGCGCACTCGCAGAGACGGCCCCGCGGACCGCCGCCTCTACCAGGAGGGCGGCGTCGCGGGCCGACCAAGCCCCTCTAGGCGCCGCCATCCGCGCCACGGGCGAAGGGCCGCGCCGATAGGCTTTCGCCAGAAGCGGACCCTAAAGCCAGGGCGCGGGGCGACGGCCGTGCGAACGCTTGAGCCAGATGGCTACGGAGGGATTAGAGCCACAGGAGAAGGGCAATCTATAGGAACACGCGTAAAACACCAAGGACTCGTGCCCCAGGAGAGGCCCAATATCTAGGAACATGAGTAAAACATTTAGGATTGTGTACACAGGAGAAGGACCATCTATAGAAACATACGTAGAACATCAAAGAATCGTGCTCCAGGTGAGGCCCAATCGATAGGAGCATACGTAAAACACATGGGATTGGAGCCACTCCTGTTGCCTTCTGAGGCCTCCTGCTCCTGGGGCCTCTCGGGGCCTCCTGTTGCCTTCCGAGGCCTCCTGGCGCTTCCTGTTGCCTCCTGGGGCCTCCTGTGGTTTCCTGAGGCCTTCTGGAGCTTCCTGGGGCCTCCTGGAGCCTCTTGGGACATCCTGTGGCCTCTTGAGTCTTTCTGTGGCCTCCTGATGCCTCCTGGGACCTCATGTGGTCTCCTGGGGCCTCCTGGAGCCTGTTGGAGCCTCCTGTGGCATCCTGAGAAGAATCTGCGCCCACGAGCCTGGCCACCAAAACAAGCAAACCGATCGAGACATCCTCAAAATCTGGCCCACCTGGGGGGTGAAAGTGAGCGCCTCGCTCGAGACATCCTCCAAATCTGCTCCGAAAGCGAAGGATGTTGAGCCCAGAAACAAGCAAACCGCCTGAGACATCCCCACAAAATGGCCGCGAACGAGCCCGTGCAAACCACCCCTGGCGGCTCCCCTTAGGGCCACGAGCCTGGCCACCAAAACAAGCAAACCGATCGAGACATCCTCAAAATCTGGCCCACCTGGGGGGTGAAAATGAGCGCCTCGCTCGAGACATCCTCCAAATCTGCTCCGAAAGCGAAGGATGTTGAGCCCAGAAACAAGCAAACCGCCTGAGACATCCCCACAAAATGGCCGCGAACGAGCCCGTGCAACCACCCCTGGCGGCTCCCCTTAGGGGTGCTGAAACCAGCGCCCCGCCTGAGACATCCTCACAATCTGCTCTCCAAGCGAAGGATGTTGAGCCCAGAAACAAGCAAACCGCCTGAGACATCCCCACAAAATGGCCGCGAACGAGCCCGTGCAAACACCCCTGGCGGCTCCCCTTAGGGGTGCTGAAACCAGCGCCCCGCCTGAGACATCCTCACAATCTGCTCTCCAAGCGAAGGATGTTGAGCCCAGAAACAAGCAAACTGGGTGTGAGTAAGTCTGTGTATGAGTAAGTCAGTGTATGAGTATGTCTGAGTGTGAGTAAGTCTGAGTATGAGTAGGTCTGAGTATCAGTAAGTCTGAGTATGAGTAAGTCTGTGTATGAGTAAGTCTGAGTATGAGCAAGTCTGAGTATGAGTAAGTCCGACAGGAGGGGAGGAGGAAAGAGGAGGAGGAAGGAGGAGAGGGAGTAGGAGGCGTCCAAGTAATAACAATAACCCCATCTTAGGATATGGGGAAAAACCGGCTGTCGCAGAAACCACGGCGGACCAACCTCGACAACTCCTGGCCGCTCCGGGCCCTCATGAGACGAGCGCGTTCCACTACTCGCAAAGTGACTACTCGCAAATGGCATGGATCCGCCGCGGGGGATCTACGACACCCTACACAAGAGGCAGACGCATGGTTTTTTGGACGCTTGCGAGTAGGCACTTTGCAAGTAGTGGAACGCGCTCGGTGACTCACCGAGCCCCGGATCCGCGTGGTGTTATGTCGGGCGTGTCCCCCTACAGGGGGATTCTCGACGGAAAATAATACATATCCCCAAAATCCACCGACCCTGTCGGCGTGTGGAAGAGGCTTCTCCGTCTGTTCCCTCTTCTTCGTCGTCGTCGTCGTTCCTTCCCCTTTCCCCACAGCGTCGTTGCTTCTACCCCTCTCCCAAGGCCTCCTCCTGAAGCGTGCCAGTCCAAAGCGAAATTGAGCAACGTCGTAATTGAGTCGAAAGGAAACCCCTTCCCTTTGATCCCTTCCCCGCCCGGGGGGGGGTGGTCCCGGGGTGGGTCCCGGGTTTTTACCCCGCCCCCCCGGGGAATCCCGGAGCCCAAAACAGCCCCAAGACGGGCCAAGAGTGCCCCAAGAGGCCCCCAAGACGATCCAAGAGGGCCCTGAATCGCCGAATGATCTGTCCAAGACGCCTTGACGTCCTCCAGACGGCCCAAGAGGCCTCCAGGACCGTTCCCAAGAGAGCCCCAAGAGGCAAAAATCATGGATTTCCCATATGTTTTTCCAAGAATTTTGGCGTTCTCGCCTCTTCCGCTTCCCCACGCGCCAAGACGGCCCAAGAGGCCCCCAAGGTCGCCCCGAGACGGCCCAAGAGGCCTCCAAGAGAGTCCCCAAACGGCCCAAGAGTGCCCCAAGACGGCCCAAGACGCCTCCAAGACGGCACAAGAGGCCCCCAAGACGGTTCCAAGAGAGCGCCCAGACGGGGGACCCGAACGGACATTTCGAGCCCCTAGCCCCGAGAAGCCCCCAAGAGGCCCCCAGGAAGCCCAAAGAGGCCCCAAGAGGCTCCCAAGAGGCCCCCAAACATCCCCCCAGAGGCCCCCGAGAGCGCTCGGAAGAAACCCCAAGAAGCACGTTTGAGGACTCAACCCACGTCAGCATCGTCGTCGTCGCTACCGCCGCCGCCGCCGTCGTCGTTCCCCTGCAGGGTCGGCGGCCGTAAGGCCTTCGCAATACTCCAAAAAGGTCAAAACATACTCAAAAAAATAGTCCCCAGACTATTTTTGGACTATTTTTGGGGTACTTTCTATTTTTCGTCGAAAATCCCCCTGTAGGGGGACAGGCCCGACTTAAGCGTGGTGACAGACCACCACGTCGGGGATCTGGGCCGAGGCTCGAAGCTGCCTGCCTCTCTGCTTTCCGGCCCCCGTGGCGCCGGCGGCGCCCCTGGTCGGACCGAGCGGCACGGCAGAGCAGCGCGGCAGCCGCGCGGGGCGAAACCGCCCCACGCCCAGCCTTGGCGTGCTCCAGACGTGCACCCCGCGAAGCATGAGAGATAACACTTCGTACAGGGCAGTTTTTAATAATAGTTTTTTTGGGGGTGTTTTTTTTTATAATATTATATAGAGGATTTTAATACATGATCAATTTATTAATAAATTAGTGCATGAACTCATCGTTGCTCTTAGTACTAAATCCCTGCATTTCTAATACATTATCCGCACGCGGAGCATGTATAAAAAACGGTACTGTAAGGATAGCAGTCCGCCGACCCCCGCTTGCCGGGGGCGCAAAGGCGTGTGAGACATTTGGCTGTCCCCCTCCTCCCTGCCCCCTCCCCTGGGGTCTGAGATCCGATTAGAGGGGTGGGGTGGGGTGGGGGTACGAGCTCGTCAACGCACCCCTGGGGCGTCCGGAGCCACCAAGAAGCCCCACGAGGGCGCAGACAGAGCGCCAAGACAATCGAAGAGAGCGTCGAGACGGCCCAGAGTAGCTCCACGACGGTCCAAGATGACTTCAAACCAGCCCACAAGGACCCCATGACGGCCCAAAAGTGTTCTAAGAGGACCGCCGAGAAGGCCCCAAGAGGCAAACATCGTCTCACCCTCTCAGGAACGCTTGCCTTTGTAGCACATTCGCCTTTTTCGTCTTGGCAGCTTCTAAAACTGCCCAATTGACCTCCAATGGACCCCCAAGAGGGCCCCAAGACGGCACTGAGACGGCCCCCAAGACGGCCCAAGAGAGCTCAAAGAGGACCCCAAAAGAGCCCAAGAGGGGGAATACGAGCTGATATTCCGAGCCTTTCCCCCCAACATGACCCCCCCCCAAGGCCTCCGAGGCGCCCCCAAGAAGCCCCCCTCAACAGGCCAGCTGGTACTGCAAAGGGAGCTGTCTGTGCGCAGCCCGCAGCCTTACCAACCCAGCCGTTCACTCCAAGGAACGGGGCCTCCAGAAGTCCCGACCCTTTCCCCAAGGCCGATTTTTCATCGCGAGTCGTTCCTGGACGGCCCTGGGACCCGGCGAAGGAACCCAGAGGCCGAAAACGGCCAAAACCTCCCGTCGTTGCTTCTTTCAGAGCGTGAGCAGATCTGGGAAGGCACGTGGCGGACCACGCCCGAAGCCTCCTGTGGGCTCGGGCCGGCGGCGGCGTTGACTGGGCGAACGGCGAGCGGCTGGCCGACGCCGCCGCGCCTCCTCGGGGGACGACTGTGCGAGGATGAGGGCGTCGAGGAAGTCGTAGTCCTGCGGGCAGCCACACTGTCGATCATGATGATGATGCTGATGATGATGGTGATGATGATGGTGCTGATGATGATGATGACGATGACGATGACGATGATGACGAGGAGGAGGATGATGATGTCGCACGTGTGGCCGAACGGCCCCCGAAGCTCTGGCCCCGTCCTGGGGCCCGTTTCTGTTCTTCTCGTCGCTCGTCGACGGCCCCAGGGGCCCGACAGGAGGACACGGGAGGCCGAACATGGCTGACCACACGAGCTTCGGTTGCTTGATCTCGAGCCCTTGACCTGTCCTAAGGGGACGTTCCGATCAGAACTTCGAGGCGGAGGAGGCGCCGACAACTTCACAGTATCTCGATCAACTTTCGAGACCTGGGTCTCAAGAGTTGCCTGCCGCTTCTCCCTGACGCACCCGCTGCCGGGGAGCACACTTCGGGCCGCCCGCGGGCGCTGGCAACCGGACCTTGCAACTGCAGCCTCGCCCGCAGTGGCACTGGGGGGACGCACTTCGGGCCGCTGTGGCCACCCGCGCAAACGATCGCCTCACAACCGCAACCACGGAGCATCTTTTGTGCCACCCGCGGGTGCCCGCAAGCGCACCCGCAGCGGCAAACTATCTGGGGCCGCCCGCGTAATCGCAACCGACCAGGCAGCACAAATCTCGGGCGACCACGCTGCAAAGCGTCCAAGCGAAACAACTTCGTTCTGGATTCCTCGTTGCCTGTGCCGCCGACCCAACTTCCTCCTTCTCCTCCTCCGCATGGTTCCCATATCCTAGAATGCATCTGCTTCCTGCCGATGGGCATGTCTGGATGCCATGAACCATGATCCCGAACCGCGTCTCCTACTTCTTCGATGTGTCCCGCCTTCGCCTCGAGACCCCTTGGCCAATCACCAGATGGCCCCTAATAATTGCCCCTTTCGCACGCACACTCGCTGGGGTGCTGCTCGTTGGTTGCACGCGAACTCAACAACTGAGACGGCCACGGTGGTCTCGCACTTCTTGGCGCTGGCAATTATATCGCTCAACTGTGCACGCGCTACGGGTCCTGCCCGCACCTCCAACGATACGACGTTTTCGAACCGCTGGCCGCCTTCCCCCAAACAAGCTTTTCACCCTGAATCGTTATTCATGGTCCCAGGGCCCAGAAACGGTCTCCCGGACATCGGAGAAAGCGAAATACCAACGCGACTTTTTCGAATCGTTGAGGATCTGGACTTTCCTCCCAGCTGCGGGGCGAGCTGATACCAACTGCCCTTGCCCGACTGTGGCAGCCAGTCCCGGAGCCCGTGCCGCTGTCCTGCGGGTCCATGCACTTGTACGTCAGGTCGGCGTTCTCCGCCAAGATGTCCGCGGCCAGGTCGTAGTAGCCGTACTTGCAGTAGAGCAGCAGCAGATTCGCGAAGGTCTCCTATAGGGACCCTCTAAGGGGAGCCCACGGGACATCAACGTTGCAATGTGCAGTCAACCCGTACCATAAGGATGCGCGGTAAGGATGCAAGGGCCTTGGAGGCCCATGTCAACGATCTTCGAACGCGGTTGGCCAGCGAAAGTCGCTAAGGATGGGCCGAACGTCGCTAAGGATGCAAGGGTACCCTTGGGAAGGTTGCCCATACCTACCACAGTCGGGCTGCTGAAAGAAGGAACGATCAACAAGGAACGAAGCCCTTTTTTGGCCCCACAAGCGCCTGCGCGCACGAGGAAGGCCAAAGGAAAAGCCACAGAAGGACCCGAGGAACATCGAGCCCCTGTCTTACCCAAACCTTCCTTGTTTCAGCGACCTGGCTGTAGGCGGGCTGACTGTGTAACCGTAAGCGCCAAGTATCGGAGGAGGAGGAGGATGAGGAGGAGGATGAGGAGGACCCGTTGTCCGTGGCACCAACAGCTCATACATTCGTTCCAGAGGGGGGGGGCGGGGCACCGCCGAGCGATGCCGTTCGCACCCCATTCCTCAACCTGCTGTTGCGGGGCGTCCCTGCGGAATCCTCACAAATCTGCCAGGGCCCCCCCATGGGCATTCCAATGAATTCCTTGGGAATCCTTACGGGACTCCTGAAGATCCTCAGGAACCCTTCAGAAATCACTTTGACATAATCCTTCAAGAATCATTTTGAAATCCTCAAGAATCTTCAGGTCTTACTGTGGGAACATCCACGGTTCGCTAAGGACCAAAACCGTCTCGAAATCCTCCGAAACCCTACCGGGAAACTTCCGGGAGGCTTTTCCGAAAATTCCGGAAGTGTTTCGGGAAGGTTTCGTCCGTTTTGAAGGCGAAGCAGTCCCTGGTGATCAGTGGACTTTCCAATCTTATTGGGATCCTATCATGATCTTGGTGGGATCCCGCGCTGACGGGTTCCTGGGGGTGGGTCGATTATTTCAATTTACGATTCATTCTCGCAGATCGGACATTCCATGTGCTCTTCCCCTCGGAACTCGTCCGACCGTGCAGTGCCACTTCGGAACACAAGTCAGGGCGCCCGCGCAATTGAGGCCGCGGCCTACACTAGAATGGACAAGCGACAACAGAGCAAACAAAAACTAAGGGACAGGGCGTGATCCACCGCCGCTTTACTGTGGAAAATTCACCCCCTCTTCCTCCAGAACCCAGGGTTTCCCCCCCCCCCCTCCGAAAGTCCTTCCCCCACCCTGCTCGAACCCCCCCCCCTCCCCCTTCCCCCCATTTTCTGCCAGCAATGGTAGAACACGCTCTTTCCGACCTTTTAACGTTGTGGGAAACCTCCTGTGTTACGCCACGGGCTCGGAGTTCTGACGCGCCGCAACGCCTGCAGAGTCGGCCAGGGGACATGATAGCAGCGCTGCGCCGTACCCTTCTTGCGAGACCCGTACGGAAATTCTCCGAACCTCCAGGGGGAACTACCAAACAACTCTTTTGGGGGGTGTTGGGAGGGTTTTCTCTGGGGCCCGCCCCAAAGAGTGGGGGCGCGGAGGGGCTGCTTTTTTGAGAGGTTCCTGGGCGCCGCATTTAAAACACACAGCTGATTGTGGAAACCCAATGTATCCCCCCTTGCCCCCCCGCACACACACAAAACACACATACATACACACACACACACCAATCACCACCACTTTTGTTTAAGCAATTTCGATGGTGTTTCCTCTGAACACCTTTAAAATCCGCCGACACTGTCGGCGTGTGCGAGGGGTTTGTCTGTTCGAATTGTCGTCTCCGTCAATCGTCGTCTGCGTCGTCCCCTTTCCCTGCACACTCCTCAGGCCTGTCAACGAGAGAAACAACCGCAATGTCGTAATCGAATTGAAAGGAACCCCCTTCCCTTTGATCCCTCCCCCGTCGGGGGGGAGAGGGGGTCCCGGGTGGGGTGGGGTGGAGGATTAGATACGCATCCCCCCCTGGGGTCCTGGGGCTGCACAAAATACCAAAACAAGCCAAGAGTGCCCCAAGAGGCCCCCGAGACGGTCCAAGAGGGCCCCAATCGCTAAACGATCGGTCCAAAACGCCTTCATGCTCCCAGACTGCCCACGAGACCTGCAAGACGCCCGCCCCAAGAGGCCTCGAAAGACACTCCCGAGAGGGCCCCAAACGGCAAACATTATTGATTCTCCGTCGGTTTTTGACATATTTGGGCGTTCTCGCCTTTTCCGCTTCCCGCCGCTGCAAGATGGCCGAAGAGGCCCTCAAGATCGCCCTAAGAGGCTTCCAAGAGCGCTCCAAAACATCCCAAGAGAAGCCCAAGACAGCCCAAAACGCCTCCAAGACGGCACAAGAGGCCCCTAAGACGGCTCCAAGAGCGTGCCTTGATGGGGAACCCGAACGGACATTTCGAGCCCTCGGCCTCGAGAAGCTCCCAGGAGGCCCCACTATGTTCCCAAGAGGCCCCAAGAAGCCCACAAGTTGCCCCCAGGACACCCGAAAAGGCCCCCGAGAGGCCAAGAGGCTCCCAAGAGACCCCAAAATTGCTCCCCAGAGGCCCCCGAGAGCCCTCCCAAGAGATCCCAAGAAGCACCCCTGGGGACTCGGGCCCACGCCAACGTCGTCGTCGTCGTCGACGTCCCCCTTCCGGGTCGGCGGCACTGGCCGCCAGGCCTTCGCAATCAAAATTCGTCAAAGCACCCTGGGACCACCCAAAAACAATACAGCAATGTTTTTGTTGAAAAATGTTTTCCCTTGGATTTCGAACCCCCAGGGAATCCCCTGGGAACCTTCCCCCAAGTGCTTTTTCGGGAAGGGTCCCCCTAAGTCCCCCCTCAAGATTTTGTTCTGCGGATTTTCAAACAGGTTTCACCAGACCCCTTGGGAACGCCTCCCAAACAAACCCATTTGACATTTTTTTGGGGGAGGGGTCCCCCCAGAATCCCCTTCAAAGGTTTCGTTATTCCGTTTTTTTGTTTGAGATTTTCGTGGGTCCCCCGGGACCTCCCTGAAACGCCCTTGAGGGTCCCCCCCCCGCGCCCCCCTCAAGGTTCTATCTTGTTTTTCGGGTGGGTTCCCCTGGACACCCAAGTGCCACACCATGCTGCCTTCTGCTGCCAACTACAGGGCAAGCAAAAAACACTCACGACGCCCTCAACACCTTGCCGTGCAAGAAAGCGGGTCCTGGCGGAAACGGGTCCTGGACCCTGGGGCTATCGCCTGGGGATCCAGCGCTTCACCTCGAGTAGCTTCGAATCTAGTCTGGGGGCCCCGTCCCTGTATGCCGAATGAAGTACGCCGACGCTGCCGCTTGCCGAGCGACTTCCTCTCCCCTTCCCCGGCCCAAGGAACACAGCAGCTCCAGCAGTCTCGCGCCGCGCCGGACGCGGACAGCCTCCCCCTGCTCCCCAGAGGGCGGGAACATCCACACCCAGCGTGGGCCGGACGCAGGGGGGGGATAGCACAGAGAGGTCAGCGACCCAGCTGCATGCCACGGGCTCTGCTGCCCCATCCCCCCCTGGCGCCAGAAGCGTACAGAGGAAAGGGCCCTACGGCGGGGCTAAGCCTGCTGGAGCAAACTTCGTACCCCCATCCGCATCCCTCCCCTTCCGTCCGACTTGCAGCATCACCGTCGTCTGGCACTCAAGTCATAACTCGGGTCTCCCGCGGACGTACGGAGCGTTCCAGACATTCCCAGGACGCTCTTGGCGCGGTGCGGCTGCTGGAGAGCACCCCGAGGCCAGAAGGCCGCCGAGAACCCACGAAAATATCCGAGAACCTCGAATTCCCGACGTCATATTTTTCCCAACCATCCTGTGGTGTTGGGCCCTCGTTTTGAAGAGACAGCGCCCCGCGCTCTCCTCTCCTCTTCCTCTTCTTCCTCCTCCTCCTCCTCCTCCTCCTCCTCCTCCTCCTCCTCCTCCTCCTCCTCCCGCTCCTCCATCCTCCCCACCCCCATGTCGGCACACCCCTCATACGTTTTGTGGTCCCATAAGGAGCTCCACCGAAGGCCCCAGTGGCTGTGTTCGCATGCGGTCCACCCCAATGTCGGTACACCACTCACACGATTCGTGGTCCCATATGGAGATCCGCCGAAGGCCCCAGTGGCTGCGTTCGCATGCGGTTCCACCTCCATTTCGGCACACCCCTCGCACGTTTTGTGGCCCCATCGGGAGCTCCACTAGAAGACCTAGCGGCTGCGTTCGCAGGCGGTTCCGCCCCCCATTTCGGCACACCCCTCCCATGGTTCGTGGCCGCATAGGGAGCTCCACCGAATGCCCCAGTGCCTGCGTTCGCATGCGGTTCCGCCCCCCATCTCGGCACACCGCTCAGACGGGTCGTGGCCCCACAAGGAGCTCCGCCGAAGGCCCCAGTGGCTGCGTTCACAGGCGGTTCCGCCTCCATTTCGGCACACCTCTCATACGTTCTGTGGCCCCACAGTGTGCTCCACCGAAGGCCCCAGTGGCTGCGTTCGCATGCGGTTCCATCCCCATTTCGGCACACCGCTCACACGTTTCGTGGCCCCAAAGCTCCACCGAAGGCCCCAGTGGCTGCGTTCGCAGGCGGTTCCACCCCTATTTCGGCACGCCCCTCACACGGCTCGTGGCCCCATAGGGAGCTCCGCCGAAGGCCCCAGCGGCTGCGTTCGCATGCGGTTCCGCCCCCCATTTCGGCGCACCCCTCGGAAGTTTCGTGGCCCCATAGGGAGCTCCGCCGAAGGCCCCAGCGGCTGCGTTTGCATGCGGCTTGGGAGCTCCACCGAAGGAAATAATCACAACTGCGGCATTCACAACTGCATATGGTTGGCGCCAAGATGATTCAGAACGTCGACCCCCAGAGGCCTCAACCCCTTCCCCGGGACCAGTTTCTGGTCTCGAGTCATTTTTTGGCAGTCCCGAGGCCCGGCGAGGACCTCCAGCAGTCGAAAACAATGAAAAACCTCCCGCCGTGACTTTTTCACCTCGCGAGGGGGTCTCGGAACCTCGAGCCCCCCTGTTCCAACCTCCCCCTCCCGTCCCGCCCGAGACCAGCCCACGCGGGCTGAGCGATGCCGGCGCGCGCCCGTCTCCGGCGGCGAAGGGTGCTGGTTCAGCAGGAAGTTCAGCTTCCGGAAGCCCTCCGTCGGCCTCTCCCGAGGGGGGGCTTGGCGGCTTGCGGGAGCTGGCGGCGCGAGGGCTGACTGAGGCCGCCCAAGTGGGACCCGAGCAGACGGGGTCGGAGGATCGCACCGCATCGCCGGTGCATCGGTGATGCACCAGCGGCGCATCGGCGACGTCGGGGCGGAGAGAATGGGGCTCCGTCCCGCGCCGCATCGCCGACGCATCGGCGACATGGCGCGATCCTCCGACCCCATCTAATCCAGCTCCATGTGGGCGGCCTAGAGTTGAGCAGATTTTATCGTACTCATCCATGATGTTTGAACAGATCGATCGTCTTCATGTTTGAACAAACCTATCGTCTTCATCCTTCGTCTTCGTCCATCGTGTCGTCTCGAGGTGTGGCGTTTGGCCACACCTGTGCTTCGAGCCGCCGGCCCTCGGGCTGTAGCCTTTTAGCCTTTGACTGTATCCGTCCATTCGCCCGCCAACGCGTCCACCTAGACGCAAGGCTTCTGCCTGTGTGTCTGTCTGTCTGTCTGTCTGAGAAGTCTGTCTGTCTGTCTGTCTGTCTCTGTTTGGCGGCGCGCACAAGGGGGTGGGGGGTGGGGGGGGGCTTCTTAGAAGGAGGCTGCTTCTTAGAAGGCGCCGGCCTTACATCTACAGATGAGGCCCGCGCCTTCGAAGAAACAAGGGTGCTTCTAAGAAGCCCTCCCCCCTCCCCCCACCCCCCTCTGCGCGTGGGCGATCTGTGAGGGGCAACGTTAGGGGGGACTGGCGCAGAAGGGGGGATGCATCGACCTGGAGTCGGCGACACGTCGCCGGCAGATCGGCGGTGGGCCTCTGGCGGCGAATCCGCACCTCCCTGGGCAGTTCGGGGCCTCGGGCCCCTCTCGGCGATCCATGGGCGATTGGGGGTCGATGCGTCCCCGCCGTTTTTAATACATAGGATTTTTAAAGTATGGGATTTTCATACTTGATTAATTTATGGATAATGCATGAACTCATCCTTGTTGTTAACACTGAATCCCTGAATTTTTGATACATGATCCGCACGCGGAGCCTCTGTAAAAAACGGCACTGTGTGCCCATCCTCCCCACCCCCCCTATCGTTGTCGCCGATGTCTGGAGCTGAGCACGGCTTCTCCAGGGCTCCGGCCAGCGGGGCGCACGGCTGCGGCTCCAGCTGCTCGTGCTCCCGCTGCCGCCCGTGCTGCCTGCCTTTGTTATTATTCCTCCTCCTCCTCCTCCTCCACCTCCTCCTCCTCCTCCTCCTCCTCCGGCTCCTCCTTCTCCTCCTCCTCCTCCTCCTCCTCCTCCTCCTCCTCCATCCCCCCTTCCTCCAGGTCCCGTCAGAGAGGGGGAGCCTTCCAGGGCCCGACGCGCGGCGCGGCATCTTCAGAGTCCGAAGACCGAAGCGTTTGCTGGGGGCGACAAGGCGCGTGAAATAAAAGTGGCTGTCCTCCCCCTCTCTCGCTCCCCATCCCAAGGCTCCAGCATCGCGTTTCGGGGGGCGCGCGCGGTTGCTGCTCTTCGACCTTCTACGCCCTGCCGCTGCGCGCAGGGCCGTGACGCCAACACAGGTGTGAGTGCGTGCGTGCACCTCCTGCCCGCGCTTGAAGACCCCCTGCGCCGCTGACTTACAAAAGTGTGTTCCAGGGTCCACAGGCCCGTTTCCTCAGGACTCACTTGCCCCGCCGCCGGCCCCCGCCGCGGCCGCTGCTCCGCCTTGCCTCGCCGCTGCCCCGTGCGGGCCCAACCTCCTGTCCTTGCTTGCCGGCGCGCGCGCCCGACAGACCTGTACTTGGCAAGTGGCGTGCCCGGCCCGCGACGCTCACAAAGCGTGCGCGTGTGTGTGCCCTATGTGAGTCCCTAGGGCGGCGTGGCGGGCTGGTGCCCCTGGGGTCGCTCGGTGGAGGGCGCGGGGGGGGTGGGGGAGGAGGAGGACAAGGGATCACACACCACCTCTGTATCAGTAGACAGCGTGGTGGTGGTGGGTTGCCATTTCGTGGCACCCTTGGCCACCATGTGCACCCTCCGAGCTCCTCTGTCACTGAAGAGGAGGGAGGAGGGGGATGATGATGATGATGATGAGGATTGTCTCGGATGTATCCTTAGTCAGCGGGTCGCGCACTCGCACCTCAGCCCCTAGGGGGGCGGGGTCTGGCCGATGCGGGTGTCCGCCGCGCAGACTAAAGCTGGGGGATGACGGATAGCCACGATACTGAGGTGCTTAGTGAGGAACACCCGTCGATGTTCCACCTCTTTATCGATTTCGCTGGCCGCCACCCCCTCCTCACCCCATGCCCCAAAGTGATCCTGTCGAATCGGGGCTCCTACGGGGTGGCATCCCATATTGGGGGAGCGAACTTGCCGCAGCAGTGGTCCGCAATTTGACTCCTGGCGCGCACTGCCCAGCGGTTCCCCTCCGGGGAGGAAGCGGATCCCAAGGTGGGCCCGATTGCTTCCCCGCCGCTGAATTCAGGGGCTTTTGCACTTAGTGCAGGGACCCTGGCAGGTCGGGCAGACGCTGGGAGCTTTAGCCCCAGCGTAGGTGTGGCAAAGCGTCAGGGGCCCCAGCCCACGCAGGCAGCCTGCGATGCTTGCGTGCTGAGTGCGACTTCGGGGGGGACCCCCTTGTGAAGATGGCTGCCTCTCTGCACATACTAGCACCTGTGCCGCGCGATAGCGGCACAAACGGGGCGTCGCTCCATCGGGGTGACTTCCCCCGCGAGGTTGGATGCCGTGAGCATTCCAGTCGCATGTTGATGCCAATGGCCCGCGTAACGGTCTGGACGGCCGTAGTTTTTAGCAAGACCGCGAAAGCGACATGAAACCGGCTTTCTGGGTTGCCATCCCCGCTTGGCGATGGCCCCAGGATGCCACAACAAAGTGTGGCTATTTTTCCTCTGCTTGGTCAGGGCAGCAGGACGAGTGGCAGCAGAAGCATGGTAGAGTTAGCGTCTTGCGAGCATTGTTGAGGAAATCCAAGGCAGAGGGCTTCCGACATAGAGGCTTCACTCACAGAGGGAACGAGCTGCGGAGGAGGATGTTCGAGCAGTTATTCAGCGAAGCGGAAACTCCAACGTCGAGGGACCGAGCCGAGGCTTACTGACCGCACCAAGTGCCCACCCCAGAAAATGCCACATTTTGTTGTGTCACACTGGGGTGCTCACCTCACTGGGGTGGTCGTGGAGCGCGCCGAGATATGATTGGTAGATCCTCTGGTCTGCTAGCCCAGGGCCCTACAAGTGTACATCGTAATCCCACTAGTTTGGTTGCTACCTGTCTGGCTGGCTAGCTGATCCGGTCGAATCAGCGGGCCAGGGGCTACCGCGAACTTGCTATGCAGTGGTCCGTAGTCCCTGGCCCTAACAGCCTTGCTGCGCGGGTAACGCATGTGGGGCCGAAGCCCCAGCTTTAGGGGTCGACGCCGGAGGGGTAAAGCCCCAGTGTGAGGGGTCCTAGAAGTTTCCGACACCGTCGGGAACCTACCCCCGAGGAGGTTTCCGGAAACCTACCTCCATAGCGGCCCGAAGGGGAGAAAAGTAACAGACGCTTCATGCACATCTCACCCCTAGAGGGGCAAACATTTACTCTGACATTATGGGGCTGTACCACCCCAGAAAAGGCACGTTGTTGATGCTGGGGTGCTCACCTCACTGGGGCGGCCGTGGAACGCGCCAAGAATTGATTAATAAATCCTCTGGCCTGCGAGCCAGGGCCCTACAGTTGTACATCGTAATCCCACTAGTTTGGTTTCTACCTGTATGGCTGGCTTGCTGATCCGGTCGAATCAGCGGGCCTGGGGCTACCGCGAACTTGCTATGCAGTGGTCCGTAGCCCCTGGCCCCTTGCTGCGCGGGTAACTCTTGTGGTGCCGAAGCCCCAACTCTAGGAGACGCGCTGCAGGCAGACGACCCCCCATGCCCGTCCGACGGGCAGGCGCCGCGGGCTCCCGAGGAGGCAGTCGAGCTGGTAGGAGAAGCCGATGGTGGCGAGGACCCCTGGCCAGACGAGGAGGAGGACGTCTTCGGGCTACTTAGGAGGCAGCTTCAGCGAGCCTGAGACCGAGCCTGAGGCAGCGGACGGCGGCAGCGGCAGCCACCAGGCAGCGAGGAGTCAGTCGGCGATGGCCTCGGAGGCTTCCGGGGCTGCCCGGAGGGCCGCCGCCCCCCCCCTGCCGGCGCCATGCCGTAGCCTTGACCTTTTCCAGGATGGGTCAGGCCTGTCCGGGGTCGCCGCCGCGACCGCCGCTGGCGCATCTGGCACCGCAGCCGGGGCCGCCGCCGATGCCGCTGGAGCCGCCGGGAAGGCCCTTGGGGGGCTTCCAGGGGCCGCCGCCGGGGGGCCAGGGGGCTCGTCGCGGACCGTGTTTTCCCCTGGGGAAAAACACGGTGTCTGGGGCCGCTCCCGGCCCCCGCCGGGAGCCCGCCCGGGCGCCGCCAGGGCCGCCGGGCGGCTCGTCGCGGGCGCTGGCGGGGCCGCGGCAGGCGGAGGCGCGGCCGTGGCAGTCGAGGGACCCGTCGGAGGCGGCGGCGACGCCCGACCAGACAGCCTGGAGGCGGATTTCGAGGGCGTGGTCGTCTGCGACGGCTCGAAGCTGGGCAGCTCGCTGTGGGCCCAGACGGGCTGGGCGGCCATGGCGGTCGACGCCGAGGGCAGAGCCACCGCGCAGGCCTGGGGCCCCCTGCTGGTCGCCCTGCCGACCCAGCGCACCATCAAGCGCGCAGAGCTCTGGGGCTTCCTGCAGGTGCTGAGGCTCATCAGAACGGAGGCATTGGGCGCGAGCGAGCCGTGCGCAATCTATCCAGACCACCTGGCCATCGTGCTGGGGCTGCGCCGTGGCCGGGCGCGGTGCTGCAACGGCAAGCGCGCGCACGCCGTCGTCTGGAGGCAGATCTATGATGATGATGATGATGATGATGATGATGATGATGATGAGGAGGAGGAGGAGGAGGAGGAGGAGGAGAGGAGGAGGAGGAGGAGGAGGAGGAGGAGGACAAGGAGGAGGAGGAGGAGGAGGAGGAGGAGGAGGGGAGGAGAGGAGGAGGGAGGAGGAGAGAGGAGGGGGAGGGGGAGGAGGGGGAGGGGGAGGGGGAGGAGGAGGAGGAGCAGGAGGAGAAGGAGGAGGAGGAGGTGATCAGGAGGAGGAGGAGGAAGAGGAGAAGGAAGAGGAGGAAGAGGCTACCACAACCAACCGCAATATCCCTGGAAGCCCCAAAGGGCCCGTCAATGAAACCCGAAAGCCTGAACCATCTGCTCTGAAGGTTCATGCGCACCGCAACTCTCGCAAGAACCAACGGAAAGCTAACAATCTTGCGCCGATGCTACGACTTGCGGAGATCAACCGTCTCAAAGTACTTGCACACATCGAGGAAGACCGTCGCAGCCTGACCTTGATCCTTCACGTTGGACTCGGCACGGAGCGACTGTCGCCACACCACATCTTGGGCCCCCTCGAATGGCCCAGCCGCAAA